ATATTCCTATAGTTTTTATATTTCAATATTAAGAGCATAAACTTAATTCTATATTTTAATTTCTCAAACTATTTCTTGCGTAAGATCAAATTTTTAACCACTTCTCATCTTCAGAAAATATTTTTTTCTCTCAGACTTAAATGTATATTAAAGTACATTTATCAAAAGGACAGAACCAGATTTTTTTATTGGAAGGATTAATAATATTCAGTTTTCCCAGCAAATAACATTTGTATATTCTATTTTCAATTATTGAAAACTCGTGCTTAAATTCTGAATGTGAATCTGCAACAGTTTGGACATTATTAACTTGTTTTTGATAAATTTGTTATGCAGGATTTAAGTGATGTTACTTTTTTCTTTCTCGCTCTCCACAGATACAAAATATCTGCAAAAGATTTAAAATCAGTGCTAAGAAGAGCAGAGAAATAATTTAAAATTTTGATATAAAGAACTGTCATTATACATTGATTTATACAAATTATTCTCATCTTTGCTTGCTATACATGTTATTTTAGACATTTTGATTTTCACTGCGTGCCTTCCAGCCATCTTCAAGCATCCATTTTTGTTGATAAGGAAATATCTTGTACAATTATTAAGAAAAAGAGAAAAAAAAAGCCTTTTCTATTAAATTCTCTTTCTAGCAATGCAGAGATTCAGAGGTTTGAGTCTCTCGTCAAATATGAATAAAAAAGAAATAACTTAAAAATAGTTGTACTACTCATACTTTTCTATCCTATAATTTTGATCCCAATGCATTATGTGAATACCACATGACTTGTATAATGGCATTATACATTGAGTTAGACTATTGATTAAATCTGTAGTTGTTAGAGATGTTATTATAGACACCACATTTTAGCTGTGGACTCTGGTCATTTCCAGATGATTTCCTGTTCGCCAAAATGAATATCTTGTATGAGTTTATTCTTGTGTTATTTTGTCTTGGATGCCATTTCTTGCTTATTTCAACTGAACCATTATATATGACTTTTTGCTAACTGATCCAAGAATTCAAGTGATGACCACTAGATAACAACAATAGGACATTAAATGGTGTAGGATTTTTTTAAAAGCCTTTTTAAGTTTAATGCCAGATGGCTTAATACTCATTATCATGTCAGATTTGTTCTGATCTGACAATTTTTTTTGTTGATTTTTGAGATGTGGAATTATCATTATACATTGCTTTCTTTAGACTATTATTCACCTCTTAGTTGTTATAGGCACATTTTGGCCATGTTACTCACTCCCATACAAAAATGATTAATAGACTAAAGCCAGATTAAATGATGGAGACTATATTTCCTAACTAAGCTTTAAATATTTTTATCATGAGTACTAAATACATATTAATATTTTAAGAATATATTTTGTTCAGAAGGATCGCCATTTGCATATCAATATTCTTTATTAAAAGGTCACTGTTTGCCTCTATCATGATGAGTAGCACCCTTGTAATTAAAATTCATTGGTCTATGCCAATAGGCATGGTAATGATAATATTTGCCATTTCCCTATAAGGAAACATTTGGCATTCATTGACTGAGCAGCCAGTACCGTTTTCAGTTAAAATTTACAAAATCTTTCTGTTAAAACACTTTTTTTTTTTTTTTTTAGAAAAACAGGTTTCCCAAGTCTTGATGGGGGTTTTCTTCCGAATCTTCTATTTGATGAAGTGTGGAATGTTAACATCTTGATTATGTCATTATTTTCTCTTCAAGTTCCATGTGCTATTCATTTTAGTTTATTGCTGCTGTCAGTAGTTGTCAAGCAATGTGGTTTTTGTTATTTGGTACAGACTTTGTGATTCTGTAATGTCAATTCACAATCTTCAATAAACAATGATCTTTTCCAAGACTCTCAGGCTTTATTCACTCAAAACCTTTTTTCACCATTGATTTTAGGAAGCAGCTGTCTACAGCTGACAGTTTAGATATTTCTAAATGTGTTTGGCACCATACATGACATCCATATGAAAGTTTCAATCTGACGAGGCTCAAGATTTCAGATTGATGTTTTGTAGCAATTTGCAGTGGTGGCCAGAACTACCTCTGGCACAACCTATTTTATGTTCAATTTTTTTTTCTCCTATACTTGATTTATTATAGCTGATCCATATGTTGAGGTATTTACTAATTCTATATCTTGTATTTTTATGATGGGTTCAGTCAGGGTAGGTGCTATCATTGCTTACATCCCAATTCCAAATCACAGTTTCTGTTTTGGAAAGGTTTATCTTGAGTTCCATGCACACCTGCCCTCCATCATTTGTGAACTGTATGTACTGTCTGGCCATCTTTAGATATCCATTTTAAATGATAGACAATGGATGTTTCTGAAATAATGGCTATAATAATATCTGTAAGCATCAAAATGAAGATATAAATTCCAAGAAATAAATGGATAATAGAATTTTAATTTCAATATTTTTTTTTTAAATTAGAAATTCTAAATATGTTTGAGGCAAGATTGCTGGATTAAGTGTTTATTTCGGTTGTCTGTTTTGGAACACACTATGGATTCTTTTTTCTTTTTCCTTTCTTCTAAGAGACTCTAAATAAATGACAGCCGTCAGTCCACATTTCAAGTAACCCATAAAAGAAGAAATTTAACCATTATAAAATCTAGTGTCATGTACTTTATGGACATTTTAAAAACTTATTCATTTCATAGATATCGAAAAATTTTCATAAAGCATCCTATTGCCAAGGATTTTGTGCTGAATTGTTTGTAACATTCAACTTAATTTGGCTCATTTTCCACAGTGTGTGTGCGCTCACACGTGCATGATATAAAAACAAAGAAAAGTTGCACACTAAAATATTAGATATTGAATAATAATGCAGTAGTTATATATTCATAGTTTTTAAATGCACAAGTTTAAATTTTTGTCCCTGGGGAAAACTTTGTATGGCACAATATTTTTGCATACATTAACAATAAATTAAAACAAGTATCGAATGTGAATAATCTTATTGAGAAAGAATTTGAATGTCAAACTACTAACTGCAGGATCAATGGAACCTGAATGGACCATTTTGGATAAATAAATAAAAAGAAAAAGGTTATTTTTCATCAGAGTATGCATTTATTTTAATTTATTGTTGATTGATACTTGAATTTTGGTTTTTAATAATATTTTTGTTGGAAATCTGGGTTAAGAATTTTGTAGTTGTCACTGAAGATTCTAATTCTAATTTCTGTGGAATCCATTCAGTAAGGAACTGTCATCATGCAATTGATCAACCAATTCCTGAATTATTATACAACTTCTTTGAATTAATTTTGATCACTAAGTAAAAAAAAGAAAAAAAGTGTCGTTTGAAAAACAATCTTTTTAAATTAGAGATTTTTTTTTTTTAGGTTTATATGAAATTTCTCAGCATTAATCTGCTGGTTTATAGAAAATATTAAATTCAGATTAAGGATCAAAGTAGGACTGAATAATTAATTTGAATGTTTCTCAGTTTTAGCAATTGTAAGTTGTGAATCACTGATTACATGGAAAAAAAATTGCAGATTTGATTGGACAAATTATTTGAATGGAATGCTGGGAAATGAAGACAAAGACATTTTTATCTCTTCTACAAAAGATGTCCGAAAACCTAGTTATAAAAAAAAAAAAAAAAAAAAAAAAAAAAATGTTGAATGTCATATGTGAATTATTATTCTTTGAAATTTGTCCAGGTAAGAATTTGGACAGGCTCTGCTGACTAAGAAGGCAGTGAGGGTGAAAATTCAGAAAAAAAATATGAATTAAAAATAAAGAATTTAAAAATAGTGCAATGAAATTATATAATATTAAAATAATCTTAAAAAGATAACTTTGGAAAAAAAAGGTTGAATTGAAAACATTTTCTGAATATTGTGTACTTTATGAAAAAGTGTTGGCATTTTAGCTATAAAGATGGACTTTGGTATCATTCTTAATCACAAACTTATTGGCATACTTCCTGAAATAGATTTAAAATACTTAATTATATATATATATATATATATATATATATATATATATATATATATATATATATATATATATATATATTCAGATAGTAGTGTATCTGTAGAAGAACAAAATGAATAAAAAGAGACAAGGAAAAACTATTCTTGGCCAACATTTTCATCCTCTGAGGGATTTTATTAAAGCAATGTAGGATTTATTTTTTTTTACAAGTGTTTATATACAAAAGTGAGGATGTCACTGGTTTATCAAGCCTTTTAAATTTGAAAAAGTTCATGAAGTTTTTGCCAGGTGGTTGAAACATGTGGAGGACACAAAGTGTCATAATTCAAAGTCTTTCAAATTTAAAAGCCTTGATAAACCAATGACATCCTCACTTTTGTATATAAACATGCATGAAAAAATAAATCCTACACTGCCTTGATAAAGTCCCTCAGAGGACGAAACATGTCGGCCAAGAATAGTTTTCCTAGTCTCTTTTTATTCATATATGTGTACACACACACACACACACACAAGAGGGGTGCTGAAAAGTTCTTGTACCAACCAAGAAAGATAAAAAAAAAATGAAAAATGATCAGATTTTAAGAAGTGAGTCATATTGAGAACCTTTAAGCACTCACTTGTGTGTGTGTGTGTGTATATATATATATATATATATATATATATATATATAGGAAATGGATTAAATCTGAAATATTATTTTTAATTTATTTTGTTTAAATGTTATTTTTGATGGATAAAGAGTTATTTTTTATCCAACTACATCGACCAGCCCAAACATTCGAGAAATCTTGTCAGAAAAAGTTTTCTCAAATATTCAGGTTGGTTGATGAAGTTGGATAAAAAATAACTCTTTAATTAAAATAAGAGCTTCAGCTCGAATATGAGTATCCATCAAAAATAACATTTAAACAAAATAAATTAAAAATAACCATATATATATATATATATATATATAGATAGATATAAAAAGTGTGTGTGTGTAAAAAAACAAAATTTTAAAAAATATAAAGAGAAGGAAGTTTTGGATTTATCTATAGACATGGATTTTTGTATCATTCTTAATCACGGACTGGCTGGCATACTTTTTAAATAAAGTCCAGAAAGTTATCAGAATTGGGTCTTCATGATATCGCACTAAATGTGGAAATTTCTGTCGGAAATGTTTTGTAGCCTCTTTTAAGTGGTAGTGGGGCACCTTGCTGAAGAGGTGGTGGATTTGATGTGTGCCAATATCATGAGTGAGGCCATGCACCAAGCCATAGTCACGGTCAACAGAAGAAAGCTGACCTTTCACATAAGACCATTTCTCGTCTGAATACCAGGGGATATTTACGTCATGGTGATGCAGGAATGTGAAGACCACCATGTATGTGGAGAAGATAAACAGAGGAATGAAGTAATGGTGAACAAGCAGCAAGAACCCCTTTTCCTGGTAGTATAAATAAAGAAGATAGACCATTACAAGATCAGATGCAAATGAAACCAGGCAGCCCAGAACATGATTCTTGAACATTTCGTGAAAAGGGTTGAAGTGGTTTACCTGACGAGGCTTGTAGCCACGTACCAGGTAGCCAAACCAACCAAGCCCGAGTCCAAATCCAGGAAGAAGGTCACGCTGGTCAGTTCTGTATTTCTTCTTGACGGGATAATACACTTCATCCCTGTCTATGTTTCCTGTGTTTTTGTGATGGTTCTTGTGCGACAGTTTCCATGTGTAGTAGGGACACAAAAGAAAAGAATGTAGGAGGGTTCCCATAACATCATTGAAGAAGGGGTAATGAGAGAAGGAACCATGCCCACAATCATGGCCAAGTACAAAGATGGCTGTATACATTGTCCCTTGTAAAAACCAGTAGAGAGGAACGTGTACAATCACAGCTGAAGGAGGCAAGTTATTTATACACCATTCACTCATGGCATACAAGACAATCATACTAATTATATCTCGGAACACGTAGTACATGGATTTGGGTATTCTAGGGTCAAAGCAGTGAGCTGGGATGGCCTGCTTGATATCTGTGATGGTCGGCAAGTTGGTAGGCACACCCATCTTAAAGAGTTCCTCAGTTTCTGCTTCTGAGTTTCCTGTTTCTTGCATAGGCACAGATTCATCACTATCGATTTCCAGCACCATTTTCTGTAAGAAGAAATGAATCAAGTAATTAGACATTAAGAGACATATGTAGAAAAGAATATGTACGAAAGACTTTGGTTGAAAATTTAGAGAAACAGATTCTTTCAAATTCTGAGAATTGGTTTTTGCTCTTTAAAATGATGACTGGAGAAAAAAAATATGTCCATTATTGTAGGGGGAGGAAGAAAAAAAAAGCCAGTAATACACAATTCATCCATTCAGCTCAATACCACTTAACAGAAAGACAGCAAACTGTAAACAAATATTCACTAACAACACATTTAAAATTTCAATTTTCCTCAAATGCTATTGATGTTTTTTAAAGCATCTTTGAGCTCTTCAATGATAATGAAGCTCATTGTCTGAGATAATTCCTAGAATAATAACATTACATCTCATAAATTTGGAGAAAACTTTTTTCTGAAGGATTTTGTCAAAAAATGATCAACATTTACTTTTGACCAGATATTCCTCAAACTGAGGCAAATACCAAAATTGCATGAAGTGAAATCATTTTAGTGATTTTTTTTCACTTTAATTAGAGCTTCAGTTTGCTGACATTTAATTCAATATATATATATATATATATATATATATATATATATATATATATAATGATGGTACTCCTTTCTTTGTCAGTGAGTTCGCAGTTTGTACATCAATTGGTATCCAAGAGATTTCGGCCATTTCTTTTCTATCATTTCTCTCAAAATGGCCATTTCTATGCAAAGTCTCTTCTCCAAAATTTGTGTTGATGAATGTACTGCATCATAGAGACAAGAATTGTCAGTTTTACATATAATTTGTATATTTTCATTATCTTCCAGTTGCAACAATTCTAATAAAAATTTCCTATAAAAAAGACATGCTTCTGCTTTGTCAACCATGGCTAATGTTTCGGCTGCTAGAGTACTTTTGACAAGGCTGTTTTGATTGCCAAGCAATGGGCATATATCTATTGGTACTTCCTACCAAAAAGAGTATATACCCTCCTTGTGATCCACCATTGGTCAACTTGGCAAAAGAGGCATCACTATACACAATAATTTTTAAGTGTTCTAAGTTTTCTAAATCTGGAATGTCTATCTGGGATTTTTTCTTTTTTGCTTTCTTCACTACTCTGCTTGTTTTATACATTCTACATTTTTTTTTTGTTTTAATACAGAATTTAATGTACTAACATCATAATTTAGATCAGTCCTGGACCGGGTGGCTAGCCAATTAAGTTGACGTATCTCTGTTACTTCTGTTGTGGATATAGTGTCTTTCAAATTTCTGCTTTCTTCTATTGGGATATAATTTAACTTTTTTACATATTCATTCTGTCCTAGTTTGACATTATCTCCATTTTACTTTGTTTAATCCTATAAATTGGAATTCAGTAACTTCTTCAGATTTGACTTCAAATAGATGACGGATTTTGTCTATAACTCTGGTCTGAAAGATTTCTATTCCTGCAAAGCAGAAATCATCAACATGGGTAGCAATTATACCCTGCAGTTTGTTTTCAGAAATACCATATAAATATTGCCTGGTCATATTTTGAAACTCCTATTCTTAATTTAATTAATTCATCCTTGAGTGTCAGGTACCAGGATCTTAAAGCATCAGTCAGACCATATAGACATTTAGAGAGCTTCCAAATATAACCTGGAGGTACAGTGGCTTCTTTTGGAGGATTTAAATAAACCAATTTATCTGTTTTCTTTATAGAAATGCAGTTTTTATTTCCATGGATTTGCACAGCCAATGGTTAGGTGCCATTATTCCCAATGCTATACGTTACACCTTCTTTAGAGCAGGTGGAGAATCATTTTTCATACTGCAAACATCTTTGTCTTAAAAGCCTTAAGCTACAAGTCTAGCTTTACAAATCTTTTTGCCATTAGAACTTTTATAAGTATAAACCCATCTTATGGATATCTTGGGTTGACTTTGTTCAGGAATTTGTATGTAGGCTTTATTTTTAACCCAAATTTGGAGCTCCTTTTTTCTTACCTTTTCCAGATCATCATTTGAGGAGGAAATTATATTTTCCTCATTGCAATAAGTGTTTTCATCTTCTCTTGTTTGTTTGTCCTCACTTACCATTCTGATACTCCATTCTCAAAGTCCAGCCAAAAGGATTTGCCTTGTCCCATAACAACATTCATTAAGTATTTCTTTCTTCCTGTTGCTTTGCCTACCCTACTTAAGACATTCAATTTTCTCTTTTTTGAATCATCATCATTGGCAAGCTTGCATTTAATAGTTTGTTCTGCTTTGGGAGCTCAATTTTCTTAAAAATGGAACTTTTTGGGGGGGGGGTCTGCTCCTTACTGTCACAGTCTGATGCTGTTCAATATTTTCATTTGGGCTTTCTTTATCCATATCATTCTCTTCAAAAATTGATACTATTGCAGTTTTATTAGGCCCTTTTTGTAAGGTGTTGGGTGTCGGTTCCATTATTGTGTCATCTTCAGAACTTTGATATACTTCAGTTTAGGGGACTAAATCGGGTGGACGCACTCTCACATATGTACCACCATGTTTAATGAGTACCTGCTTATGCTTCCACCCTATGACAGTTCCTGGACACTTCTTTTATAGAGAACAGTATCACCATTTTTGTATGACTGCACTATATTTGTTCGAACTTGGTGACAAAGTGTGTGTCTTAGTTTTTCTGAAGACTCAACAGGCTATGAAATGTTTCTTGGCACTTATGGCCCAAGCAAGTGCTACATCAAAACTAAAATGTGTGTCTTTAATGGTTTTCTTCATCATTTCTCCCAGTATCCCATTGTGTTGTTCATTCAAACCTTTACTCCATGGACTTTCAACAGCAGTAGTACATACTACAATATTCAAGTTCAGTGCCATGTTCCTAAATGATTGGTTATTGAACTCTTTGCTATTGTCAGTGAGGATAGAGCCTGGAGTGTCAAAATATGCTATCCAGTGTGTGAATATATCACTAAAAATGTCAGAACTTTCTTTAATAGGAATCCTGACTCTAACACTGTATCTTGTACCATGATCAATTATATGGAATGTTTTTTCCCCATTAATTTCTTTTATATCCATGGCAATGCTTTCATTAAAACATGAACCTAATGAGAACCCAACAATGGGCCTGGGTCTAGTCTTTTTGTATCAAATGCATATTTCATATGAATTAAGAAGTCCTTGTAAAATTTTTATGAATTCAGGGTCTTTTATTCCTGCATTCTTAACTAGATCACACAACTTTTTACTACTTGGATGGCTGAATTATCTATGAAATTTCGTTGCAATTCTAAGTTTTTCTGATCGGTTTTGGGTAGTAGTTTCTTTAAAGTATTTGATTAACAAGCTTACCTCAATCGGGTGGAGGTTTGGTAATAGGGATGTGATAGTGACCTGACAAACTTTTTTCTGAGCATTATGACACTAATTATCAAAATTGAGACATGTCTTGGCTCTTTTCATGGCATTTTTGCTTAATCAAAGCAGAATGTAACAATACTTATGTCAATGCTGGCAATGACATGCAGTAGGGTAGCTGTGAACAGTGATTTTAGTTTCTTTCTGTCACTGAACTTGTAAGTTCTCGATCTTTCTTGGACATTTATTTTTGTTGTTGGACAGGAATGATTTCCAGAAAACACTCATACCATTTAGTCTCACAAACAGTGGCTGAAGAACCACTGTCTAGAACTGCTGAACCAAGTACTTCACCCAAAAATGTTTGACTGTTATCTTCCTGCTTTTGCTGATTCATCAGCACAATGTTGGCTAAAGATATGTAGTCATCCTTTTAGACTCCTATCCTGCTTATTACCGGCGCTGAGGAGGCACGGTGGAGTAATGGATAGTGGCTTGGATTGAGGAATCGGAGAGCCGAGTTCGAATTCCAGTCGAATCCATTACATTCACTTACGTGCTAATACCCTTGGGAAAGGTGTGAATCCTTTCTTCTCCCTCCAGCTATGGGTAAATAGCAGGACAGACTGGGTTCTATAGCCTTGGATGGCAACTGGTCTAGGAGAAGGAAAACTGAATTCAAACCTGCTCTTAGATGAGGGTGAATGGAGTCTCTCTGAGCCTTGGTTGGCAATCCATTTAGTGATGGTGTCACGATAAAAAACACCCTTAATCGCCCTAGCGAAGCATCAAGAATTCAGCTATTTGACAAGATTATGAACTACACCAATCAAAGTATTAGTGAGTTCAATCTCGGCTGAGGCTGCAAGATGATGATGATTACTGGCGCTATCAGTATACAGACATTTGTAACTCCAGTGGAAGTTGCAGCCACATGTGAAGCATTTGGTGGTATTGCTTTCAGCTTCAAATGAGCCTGAATTTTTGTCAGAAGATACCAGAATTTTGTTCTTACATCCTCTTCTGCTTCTGTTACCTCGCCAACTGGAAAACTAAGAAGGATACTGGTTTGACAAGCAACCATAATATACTTCATTAGTGTCTTTCTGGCTGTTTTCATTGTAGGCACAAACCATGTCTCTCTTTATTACAACTGGTGGAGTATTTGGTGATGAGTCATCGGAAAACTGTCTGAGCATATATTTTTTAAGTTGTTTGGACATTGTGGACAGTGTTAATTTGCTGATGGTTGCTTTTACGAGTCGCTCATTCTCAGGTGTCTGATTTGCACTTTTTAAGTCTCTGTAGGCAAGTACCCATTCTACAAATTGCATTTGGTGGTCCTTTAACCTTGCGACATGATGGTAAAAGTTAATAAGGTATTCCTCTATTGAAAGGTCATTCTGTTGTTGATAGTGTTTGAACGACTCATATGTCATAAAAGCCTACTGGTTAGCGTCCTCTAAAAGAAGCTATTCCAACAAGAATTTTTCCATCATTGGTATATAATGTGGTAATGTCTAGTTCCAATAGGGTCTCTCTAGATTTTCCTTCCAGTGAAAAAATACTATGGGTGTGCACCAAGGTTTGTCGATGCAAGTAGCATTTGCATTTCTTTTTCTAAGTGCCGTATTTGTCTGTGTTTAAAATGGAGGAATAAATTTGGAAGCCATTGTGTAGGTCGATGTCTT